TGTCTTTGCAAATAATGTATTTTATTGTTATATTTATCAATTATGTCATTTATTATCTCATCATTAAATGAATTCACATTTTGTTGTCTCATCATTAAATGATTAAAGATTTAAAATGGAAAATTAATAGAAACAAAATAATTCTTTAGTACAAACCAGTATGAATATTTATTTAGATAGAGTAGAGATTTTTTTGTTTTATCTTCTATCTGTTTTATTAAATTATTTTTTTGATTATTATTATAAATAAATAAATATGATTTAAACAATGATTTTCTTATTTTTTATTTTTATTTTTTTATTTTTTTGTAAAATTGCATATTTTGATAAGTCGGATCTCTTGATAAGTCGGACACCATGTCCAGCCATTTGTGTCTGACTTATTGAGTTTACCTATGTATATAGTTCCTTATGAATAATAAATCTGATAATATTGATTACAGGTGTCAGATTTAATAAAAACTCTCCTATCACACACAAACATGCAAGACCATGCAATTAAGCACAATTCAGCACTGTGAAAATTTTTCCACAGGTGAAATTGTCTAAACATGCTGAAGGCTTTTTCAAGGTGGGCAAAAATTTCCCTTATCTTCCCCTCAGACCAAGGCTTGGCTGTTACAATATATGCATTGATTGTTGGCAAGAGTTGGCATCTGTGTGATATTGCTGTGCAATGATTGCATTATATTATTGCTACCCATAAGAATAAAGTTGGTGCCTGCAACTGGTATGAAATTCTGCAACTGAGGAAGTTGCATCCTGGGTTGTTGTTTTGTTGAGGTTGCTCACCTACCAACTACATTTCCTAGATGAATAGACAATGTTTTATTTTCAATTGCCTTGATTTCCTTACCCTGTTTAAAAAATAATAAATTTGGTTAACCAGATTAAAAATTTACCAAGAAACAGAAATTTTGAAAAATGGTTAATCTGTACAAAACATATCAAAATCCATACCTGTTTGTGGCTTTCCTCTTGTTGACCCTTTCTGAAAGAATTGCCAGGGATCAGTGTTGACAAAGATATTAATATATAATTTTAATCTATAGGGGAGGGGACCATATGGGCAAAAGCCCATGTCCCCTCCCCAAAATTATAAATTTGGTTAATATCAAAGAAGGAGAGAATTTAAGAAAATAATCAAACAAAAACTACTTGTGACCTTCCTCTTAACATCAGAGCACAAACTCGATTTCAGAGTCCCCAATCCCATCCTGTATCACAAATTCCTTCCAGAGCATGCTTGAAATAAGTTGCAGCAGATTCTCATTGCCTCAATAAATCTAGATGTTTATGTACACCTAATGTTACAACTCCTCCACCCAGGTTGCTGCAACAACTCAGAATTGCACAACTTTTTTTTGCATAGCCAGCTATCTTTACCCTAGAAGTAGGAACATCACTTGTTGCAGCCAGCATGTCAGCAGCTTTCTCTGGTCAGGTGCTGTGAGGGAAGATGAGGTAGGATTCACATAAGATTGATGCAATCTTGATAAACTCCAGGGCATCTTTCCTCCTCCCCAGAATTTAATTGCATCTTTGTATCATCAGGCGCAAGTCAGATTAGCCTTGTAAACATTAGGAACGTGAGAGAATGACTGTAAGTGTTTAAGGTAGTATGTGTGCCTTGATGTCTGTGAAGTGTCCAATAATCAAATGTCACATATCAAAATGTTTCCCTTCCTTCCCCATCTTTAACAATCTTATCACCTTGATATTTTCTTATTATTTAATATTAATGTTAATGTTGATTACAAAAAGCAAAATGATACCAATCATTTATCATAAAGAATCTCATAAATACAAGTTCTGCTTCAACAGTTTGATTTTGCAATAATATTTATACAAAATAAAAGACACATATATTAACAACATTTATGAAAACAATAAAAAATAAAAAAAATACAATGCAACAAGAAATTGTGTACCTCTCACCATCAAACAACAACATTCACACTTTCTTGTCTTGTAAGAATAAATTGTTTTTCCAAAATAAATTTTCAACAATAAGCAAACTTTGTACAACCATACACACATAATAAATAATTACAAGCGATCAAATAATCTTTTTTTAAAGTTTTATATATTAATATTGACCATTTAAGAGATACACAGTGAAACTCGATTTAGCGGATTTCGATTTAGCGGACGTCTAATAAAAATCTCGATTTAACGGATTGAGGCTCAGAACTGGGCTGCATTTTTATATAGTAAATTTCTCGATATAACGGATGTACTAATTAAATCTCGATTTAACGGATTTTTGAAAAATTTTTACTAAGTGGCCGAAATTATCCGCTAAATCGAGTTTCACTGTGTATATTAATTGTTTATCTATCAATTTCATAATTACTTTTGACGCCTGGAGAAAAATTTCAAGATGCCCAAAGACAAAATAAGAAATAGAAAAATAAAAGGCAAAAAAAAATATGGTGTGATTATTGCCACTCATCGTTACTCTAGTTATTGTTAAAAAAAAGAATGATGGTGGTGATTGCAAGACATTTCTACTTAGAAGAGAAATTTGTGACCTTTTTATGTTGTCATCATGCCTTCTAAATTAAGAATTTGATGTTTCATTATTTTATTCTTAAGGGTTGAGACCGATAAACTTTCTTCAATCCAGAAAAAAAAGTCAAATGAAATGGTACCTGCTGCGGCAAAAGAGAATCAGGTGTATGTAAGTACTAGTACTAAAGAGATTTTAACAAACCTGAAATAAATTTTCACTGAAGAAAAGAACAAATGAAAGCTTGAGGTTTGTAATTGATTGCTGATTAGTCTTAATAGTTGTATATATATTAACTGCATTGTCTCCTTTGCTTTAGACAAACTCAAATGAAATAAACAAAAATGAAGAGACTCTAAAGAGACCATGTAAGCAGGATGTGACAAAAGGGGTGAGTCTTATCTAATCATCTTCATTATATAATTTATTATATACAATACAATTGTGTTATTAAATTAAATTAAATTTCCTTGTTTTGATACTTGCCAGGTAGAGTATTTTTCTGCCAAATATGATGAGCAAGAATTAGACCCAGAATTATTTCTTGTAGAAACTGATGACAATAAAGAATTTGATATCAAGAGCAGTGAGGATCTTTTTAATTACAATGAATGGATTTTAAAATCTGGTATAGCAGTGGTTAATCTTCTAAAAGTGGCAGCTGGTATTAAAGGACACCTGATGAGGTAAGTTATAGCTGTTATTTTCAGTTTGTGTCTGCAACATATTAATTAATATATATTTCAAACCATGTTAGACCTGAGGTATGGGGCATTGTACATTGTGGGCTAAATGTTGCAAAACCAAAATGGTGTGAAGAAAAAGAGTACATCAAAATACAAAAAACTGTAAAATGATGTAGTATTATAAACCCTCCAGAGTTTGTTATGAAATTGCTGAAAAATGTATGCTTTGTATTCACTATCTTAATATCTAATGTTGTTATGTGATTTCAGTTTCTTATATTTCTATCAAAATATGCAATTATAAAAGTCTCCTGTGGCTTTGGGTCAGGAACTGGAAAAAATCAAAATAAAGGAGTTAATGAAGCTGAATAACTATTTGGAAGAAATTGAACAATTAAGTCTAATATGGGGCACAGAAAATAGAAAAGGTCCTAACAGCAAAATCATGATTTTGAGATAACTAAAAAAAAGAGATTTTGACCCAAAAATTCGGTATTCGTATTTCCATATTTATAGTAAAAATAAAATAAAAATAATTAACACTGGCTACCCAACATAAAAACCCAAAAATCCATTGTTAATTATAATACTATACTGGTTAACCAATTTAAAGAAAAACAAACAAAACATTTGCTTTATACCAAAGCAAATACACAAACCCTCTGAGTTCTATACCACTTGGATAACCAAATAGATAATTAAACCCTACTGTTTAATTTCCAACCAAAAAAAATAAACAAAAAAGAAAATTAATTTGTTTTTATTAAATTATACAAAAA